CAGAATTGTAAAAAAGAAGGAAAAGAAGGAAACAAATATGGAAAGAAATAAAGAAGGAAAGAAATAAAAAAGTAGCAATTCATCTCAGAGAAAGAGAGAAATAAAGAAGTTACCAATCAAGTTAAATAAGGAAATAAGTAAATATAGCCAAATTCAAGAAGGAAAAGGATTTGTAATTCCTTTCTTTTTAGAAGTTGAAGACAAATCAAGCTCTATAAAAGTATCAAGAAGTTGAAGGAAAAAACATCTTTGCATAAACACAAATCGAGAGAATTTATCAGCAAAGCCAGAACAATAGTCATTGCATATTCATGAAATATATCATCTTGAGATCACTATTTTCTGGAGAAAAAACGTAGGCCTTCGTCATAGAAACACAAGGACCAAGTTCACCTTCATCACAGAAACATAAGGACTAGGTTCACGAAGCCTATTTCACTCAGAACTATTGGATATTGAAGTATGATAAATTAAAGTCTAGGATTATTAGTCTTTGTTGATTTGTTCTAGATTTATTATTGAGTTGTAATAATTCCTAGATTTGTAAAAAGAAGTGGGTTTGATTTTTTGTGAGTTGATTCTTGAAATAATTGTAACAAGAAGTGGGTTTGACTTCTTGGGAGAGAGGTTGTGAGAATTGTAAACAAGAAGTGGGTTTGACTTCTTGGGTTGTTAGAGTTAAGAAGAGTTGAGAGCCTTTGTAAACAAGAAACGAGTTTGACTTCTTGTTGAGTGGAGAGTTTTCAATTATAGTTAATCGAAAAGGGTAGAAGTTTAGAGTTAGATTCATTGATTAACTGAGTTGTAAATCTTGAATTAATATAAAACTTCGGTGTGTTTTTTCCCTTCCTTGAGTTAGGAAGGTTTTCACGATAAATCTTTGTTTTATTTTGTTACGACAAATGTACATGAACCTGGTTCTTGTTCTAGTGGTAAGGTTTCTTCAAATAGCTATAAAACAAATTTCATTATGTGTTATAGCATGAACCTTGAAGAAAGGGGATAATTGTACAAGCCTTATACTCCTATGTGTAATGAAGTTATTCTTCTTTTGTTTTTCAATGTGCTCATTTTTTCTTATGCTTTCTTACTCCTCGTTTTCATCTCAACTTGGTTTTTGATGCAAGGCAAGTTCCTAATTTATAGTAGTGAGTAATGACTTTTCTAATGTGATTTGGACTTATCAATTTGAATTTGGTCTGATGTTAATTGAGAAATTGAATGTGATTTTTTGGATTCTCATATTATAGGACGGTGAATTCTAGTAGTTTATATGTACACGACCAGTGTAGCTAAGAAAACTTCATTAATATGTCTAATGAAATACTCCTTCAATGAGAACAGAGTTTGTAATATTAGTTCACAAACTTTCAAAAAATTAAACCATGAAAGAGATTTCGAAATGAATAGAAAATTTTAGTACCTGGTGCACTACTGGTCCTTCGGCATCAACATTGGCATGGAAAACCACATATGCAATATCGGCAATGTAAAAATTGTATCAAAGAGAAGCTTTGGTTTATACTTTCACCGGATTGTCACAATAGAGTAGTCTTTATCTTACCAAATAAGAACACTCACATTAGGCCTCTATTTTTCATGCAATCCTTCACCAACAGCACGTTCATGATCTTGGTATGCAAACATTAGTTGGTGATTGTCTTCTCTCGATTTATGAGAGACCCTTAGAATTTCTAAATTTATCCCTACCTCTAAGTATATTTCACAATAGTTGCTTCATCATAGACTATTTTTTCGGATCATTAACTGTACCTTCCGTTTCCTCACCTAGCTATTGTTGGGCGTTATGAGCGCACACATTAGCATTAACCACATTGCATTTGAGATTCGTGAGGACACTACTCACCTGAGACAATAACCCCGGTCTATCACTTGAGCTATTGACTCATGCACGATCATTAGTTTTTTTAGCTATTTTCTTAGTATGCTATAAAAAAGGAGTAAGACTATTCCAAATACGATAACTTGGACACATCGTCAAACACCTTGAATTTATACTCATACAAATTTATTTTTGTACATCATCCAGCTGAAGCAGCAAAAGGTTTCTAGTGATCCCGAGAACATGTTGAGTTTTACCTTCAGCTTGTCCACTCTTTTGCTTTCTTTAAGTTGACATAATTATAACCCTGCTTTTACGTCTAAATATTATAAAATTCTTAATTCCGCGATTATAGGATAAAGGAATACCCACGATACATTATATCGTATTTGTAAACAATTCTAAATATGCAAAACGTAATTCCATGAAACTGAAGATCATGATAAGTGTGCATTTTTCCATATACTTTTTGTTTATTTATTTGCAACTTGCAAGCTCGCCCTTTACTCTATTTTTTTCACATAAAATGAAACTGTAGAAAATTTGTATTTAAGAAACTACCAACTTTTAGATTTAGCAGAAGCCTAATAAAATAGAATAACATGTGTTTTGTAGTAAAAAAAATAAATATATATATATATATATATATATATATATATATATATATATATATATATATATATATATATATATATATATATATATATATATGCTCACTTGTATTAGTTATCATATGCAAATGAATTTTTTTAAGAGCTCAAAATACATTAATCAGAGTGGCCCATGGTCTTTCTCGAGATCTCATCACATCCCCAATTAGTAAACACAAAAAATCTGTGTGTGAAAGTGAGAGAGAAGAAGTAGCTGAGATTTGATGCAAATGGATATTGGATTTCACCTATCAAGGAAAATAGAAAATCACTTATAAACTGACAGACCTATTTAATCATAACAACACTACATAGAGTCCTCGTAGCCTCTCATAATTCTAAACAATAATACAAAAAGATGAAATATCAAATTCAAATATAATCAACTGATATCATGAGGTTAAAGCTAAAGTTGTTTCAGGTAATCTAACAGAATGCGCAAATAAATTTACCTGTATATCTGGAACGTTGAGGCAATAAGAAAATTTGATTAACCAACATACCATCTTTGTTATTTCAGTCCATATAGTTCCTATTGATGGTTCTAACTACCAGTTCCTAAATTGAATTCTTCAAAAGTAATGTATTTTTGAAGAATTCGACACGGATGTGTCAACGTAAGTGAATATCCGTGCAACCTAGCCGAGAGAGACTATATCATTCATATGAGAACACAAACTTATTTGTCTTTTTAAGTACTAAAAATTTCAAAATTACGAAAATATCTTTTTCTATTGGACAACATAAGCACATTCAAGACAATGGGGAAAGTAGCAAATCTAAGTCACATTATATTTCAATCAATATTAATTCAAAAGTCAGGGGAAAGAATCAAATTTTAACGGAAGGTTGTTAAGAAGACTCGCCTTTTGTTGTTTTTGATGGTATGAATGGTTCGAGTTTCAGACCTACACTTGAAGATCCAAACACAACAACTTTTGCTTTCATTTCCTCCATGAGTAACAGCTTGGTGAGTTCCTCTAGCAAATCTTGGATATCCCTCACCAGCATCGTGTGACGCTTTACACTACTCTTTCCAACTCTAGAATCAATTACATGTTCCGACATGGCATCATTTCATTTCTTGAATCTTAACCATCCTTTAAAAATCTTTCTATATATCTTCACTTTGTCGTGTCTATCATATAGGTCCTACTAATATTTGGAGTTTTCTATTTATATGTATTTTGCATATTTAAATTTTTTTAACTATAACATACAATTTTATGGTCAGTCAACGCTCCAGAAGAACATGTATAGGTCTTTTTTTTTCCAGTTCCTCCCATCCCCCCAAAAGGATCATCTTCAGTAAGATATCAAAATTCACATTAATTAGAAAAAGCTAAAAAAAATAATTTTAAAGGTGTTTATCATGAAAAAAAAGGGTAAAAACAATAAAATTCAAAATCGATTGTGAGAAGCCCTGCTAGAGACGAAAATAGCGAGAGGAATATCAAGGGAAAAAACGATTTTGAAACATGCATGAGTAAATAAAACCCAATTAGAAACAAGAAATTACAAAATTCTACAATAAACTACTCAAAAAGGGGAGAATGGACGATAAAAGAAGCAGAAACAGAATACCCAACAGATTGTGACTATCAAAAACGTAAACTTGCCAAGGAAAAAAAAGGATAGAAGTGAGAAGAATAAGAACGGGAACGAACAGCAATTATCAAGCATCTATGAGTATGAATCAAACCAAATTAGGAACATGCAAGAACAAAATCCTACCAACATAAAAAAAAACCCTAATAAATAACAATGAAGAACTTAATTTGAGATTGAATGATAAACGTTGAAGAGAAAAACAGATGAAAAAAAAAATGTTATAAAGGCTTACCAATTCCAGAACTCGGAAGAGAAAGTAATAGAAAATCAAACTATCAAAGAGAAGAGATGATTTCAGTTTATTACACAAGTATAAAAAAGGACTATGGCTAGTAAAATTGGGCCAAACAGAGCAAAATATTAAAGCATTCACGGTGCACTTTAGAATGCTTTTTGTAATACTATATGATTCCATGTTCGTCCGTCTCTTACTCGCTTATATTTAAGGGTATTGTAATCATCTCATTATTGTTATTATTCGCTAGTACAATTTTCACTGGCTTGAAAGAATTTAATACACTTTGTTCTATCAAATGCTTCCATACCTTATTGATTCACGTTCAATCAGATTAAAATTCAAATTAACATCTTGAATTCATTATTGATATGTACATTACATAACTTGGATGTTTTAGTTTTTAAATTGGGGGACGGCTATAGCCTATGCCATACTGCGATTACAATTAAGAGAGAAAAACAATGATTTATCGGAATAGAAATATTGCCAAGGCTAAACAATGCTTCATAAAAATTCAAAAGAAAATTCCTTTCAAGCCAAAATCTGATTCTAATGTTTTAAAAGTCTGCGTCTCAAGGAAAGGCAAAACAAAGTGAGTGTTTTTGCTTAAACAGCCGTGCAACTGCCTTTGGTTCATGCCATATTAATGTTCCCCACTTTACTTCAGTCTCTTTGAATCCCGACCTTCTGATGTCCTCCCAGACCTCTTTTTACCAAATATATCATGCCGGAAGTGACAGGAGAATCCTTTACGACATCCCTTAGGTTTATTAAAGAAAATACAAGGTGTCAAACTGCACGGAATTAGTTTTTGTAAGCTTTCATCAACCATAGACTCAGTTTTTTCTCCACGTTGCTTGATTAGGGAATTGCAGTATTTGTTGATATCCTTGTGACTAGTCATCGAGGAGGAAGGGCCAACATTTGGTGAAAGAGTCAACTTAGGCTGCAAGGTGGTAGGACAATATCTGGAAACCAAGTCAGAAATTTCTCCTCCTGCATTGTAAGGTACTCCATATTTGCTAATGAGTTTCTTGATATTTTCGAGATCAAGCTCTGAAGTGGAATAGTTTATTGATTTATTCTCTCTAATGTCAGGCTTAGTCATTGTCAAGGGTATAGATTTTGCAGATCCTGCATGGGAAGCATTGAGAGAAACAACATTGGTAGCCATGCCACGTTGATTAATCAGGTTGAGGAGAAGCCTAACCAATAAGTTGGCATGAATTAGACTACCCTGCTCTTGAAGAGCAACTACAACTATGGCTACATGAACTGTCAAATCATGAGTTGGTTCTTCTTCTTCTATAGAAATGGTTCTGACTACTGGAATTTGACTATCATCATAACCTTGTTCCAAGTAAGACAAATTGTAAGGACTGTTAAATAAGAAACAAAAATACTCACTGATTAAAACCAAGTGAAATTAAAACAATGAAAGCAACAAAACATTAAAAAAATCCAAAAATTACTTACTTTGGAGGAATTGCAAACTTGTTAGGGAAAACCGCCTCAATCACCCTCCTTTCCTATACTCCCACTTATTGGCTTCTTGACTCTCTTCACCAGCAACCACTAGCCATTTCTCATTCAGATGGAACTACAAATAACAACAATAAATGGGGTTATCAAAACAATATGTATAGAAACTATTCAAATAAAGGCAATTTCTATCATATCAACTTAAGATTACCTTGGGAGGGCATGTCCATATAGCCAATGATTTGGAAGAAAGTCTCTCTTCTGACTTCTTCAAGCAATCTCTTCTTTCAAATGATGAGATGTTGATGATTTGATGTGTCTGCTGTTGAGATATGCTCCCAACTTCTGATGGGCAATCCTCTTTTCGATAATGTTTTACCTGTTAAGTGGTAAATTATACAAACTTGTTAAGGAAAAATTTGGAATAAAAAAACTAAAGCATATCAATGTTCTTGATAAGTAAAACTGAAAGCATGTCAATTTAACATATCCTTGATACTACACACATATAATATCTCTTTGGGAAATGAAATGTAACTTAAGCATTTTGGTGCCTCGATAGCTCAATTAGCAAATCAGATGTTATCGGATAAAAAGGTTAACTATCAAGGAATCAAGAACACTATACATTTGGTTCGGGAAACCCAGTAGGATTGAAAATAAAGGAAATACGATATATAATTTTTTTCAATTAGTTTTAAGGATTAGGAAAGCATGGTCATCATAAGATTGGGTACGCTACATTAATCAAATTAAGAGGGGACACTACATGTGTTGAACTACGATATGAGAATCTTCGTTATGTTTGTTTCTATTGCGGTATACTAGGACTCAATGAGAAAACTTGTGTCCAAAGAGCAAAAGATATATGATCAGACACACTAAAAAAGATTCAGTTTGGGGCATGACTAAAAGTAGAGAATGGTATCGCTTCACCAGATTATCAGAGACATTGTGGATAATATTCCTTTTCTTTTAATGCAAAGGATAAGTTGCATCTTTTAACTCTCCGTAATTAATCTATGTGAACATTGCTAAGTCGTTAGTATTTGTGAAATAGGAAAGTTAGTTCATGATTAATGGTTCACATTTATCTTAGGTGTCAGTTTCTTAACTTTGGAAGAAAATATTCACAAGACTTGAAGTTACTTTTGTATTATGACAAATTTGTCATTAAAGTGAGAGTTATGTTTCATTACATTAATTATACGTTAGTTTGTTACATTCTTTTGATGGATGAAACATAAATGATTTTTCTATTTAAAAAGTATCATTTGGGAGCTAAACACAGAGAAGAAAAATACAAGTCCTATCTTTCATTTATTCTCCCTCAACAATTTCCTTTTATTGACTTGAATAATCGTTCATCCCATTGTGGATTTCTGGGCAATTATTTTTGTGCAACTCCAAACTTTCAGCCAGAGTGCACGTGTTTGAGAGTATGTACTTTTGCTCTTTAGGCTTTTTCTGAGTGCCTAGCATTTGAACATTGTAATGAAAATAATAAGTTTAAGTAACTAAGGAATAACAATCAGAATGAAGGGAAAAAAAGGATAAATCAGAAACGGAGGACTAGATTAGTTTGTGTTTCTAATAGTTTAAAGAACGATACAAAATTAAAGATAACGGAAATTGTGGTTATCTTGTTATTATAGAGGAAGGAGTACAAACTACAGGGGATAAACGAAAAAATACAATGCTTTCAGTATTGATATAACAACAAAAAAAGAATAAAATCATGGCGGAGCGAGAGGCCATCCCTAAATGGCTTCCCTTTCGCCTAGGCAGAGAGGAGGGAATGTAAGACGAGACGGATTCAAGAGTCTTGGACAGAAGGGAGGGGACAGAGACGGAGCTTCCTTCTTGTATTTCACATTTAAGAAAGCCTGTTTGAGCAAAGAATTATAGCTTCCCTCTTTACAATGAGGGCTATGGTGTGGAATTGTCGAGGCCTGGCAGGATCCTTGACAATTTCCTTTTTGAAGGAGACAATGCGTCTTCACTCTCCAAGAATGATTTTCTTAATTGAAACAAAAAAGTAGAGAAATCACGGTTAAGAGGGTACAAAGATTAGTAAATATGGTGCACGCTGTAACTGTGGAGCCGATGGGTTATTAGGAGGTCTAGCTTTATTTTGGAATGACACTATCCAGTTACGTGAATAACATTCTTCTCCTTTTACATCGCAACTTTGATACAAGATGGCTCAGCTAATTGCAAATATTGGTGTTTATTTGTGTACTAATTTCTGAGGACGTGCTTCACACGTGTGTTTCATGTGAATTTTTATAGATACATTAGAACGATTAAAATCTCATGGAAATATATATGTAAATTGTAATGAATAATAAAATGTAACAATTAAAAAATAAGAATAAAGAATTACGACAATAAAACATTCATAGAAAACTAAATAAAGAAGTCTAACAGAGAGAAAAAAAGACAAAAAGAAACAGAATATTTAAGTAAAAGATACAATATAGACATTATACTTATAAGATTGATGTATGTACAGGTGAAAAATTAAGTACAAAATTAGTACATAACTCTCTGAGTTCTTATCGACTCCTTTCATATCCTATCGAAATTCAAGAGTCTTCATTATCTACTTTTACTATAAAATAAAAATATTAGCCTAATAATCTTGGTAGGGGTTTCATGAGATAAAGAAGTTGAATTTATATAAATAAAATAGAAGAAATATCAAAAGATATCTTAAAGTTTTAGTTTAAATATTTGGAGGTTATGAATATGAAAAGATGAGAATTATGAATATTAAGTGTATAAAAGTTAAATAAGTAATTAGAAAATAATAATAAATAAATGAAGAATATGAAAAAGAAATTAAAGTTAGCAAACCATGTAAAAAGAACAACTAAAGTTCTTATCATGTAATTAAACATTAATGAATTTGAATTTGTGAAGCTAGAGCCATTCTTTAATAATAATCAAGAGGACATTATCAATGTGCATCTCCATTTTGTAGATTTGCACCCTTTAAATTATTAAATTTCGTTATTTATCATAAAGGATAATACTTTATCCACATCAATCATATTATTCATGAGAGGGGTTAATGAAAAAGTAATTAGAAGAAGAAAAGTAAAGAAATTTAGGTAAAGATTTTTCTTTAAAAAATTATATTTATTATTTACATATAGATTATAGATGATAAATATTAATAGATTAGATACTTAATTAATTAATCTTCGGAAGTCTAAAAGTCATTAACATTTAATTAAATTTATACAATCAAATATTTAAATATTTTATATCAATTTAATTTATAGAAGGGGTAAAATCGTAATTCAACTTTCAACTTTTTTGTTCATGCTTTTAGTAATACTAGTCTCCCGGCACGTGCGTTGCACGTGTATTCCAAATAAAAATCAATAAAAAAATAAATGAAAAAGTATATAATAAACTATTAGGAGAATTATGATTTTTTTTCGAGTGTTCTGTCGATATTTTCGATCTACTGCACATTAGATAAGTCTCCAAAACTTACCCATTTATAAGCAATTAAATATATAGACAGTCATCAACAAGTAAAATTTCCAAGAAAGACACATCAAGTTAAAGAATTAAAAAGGGAAAATGCGTCGTTACTTAAAGTCATCTTGTATCCTTAATGTGTGTCGTTACAAATGTAACTACTTCCTTAAAAACATTCACATATACCCAAACTTACATTTACAGGCTTACAACTACTATCCATCACTGTTAGAGAAGACTTGGAGTTGCTACATTTGTTGAAGAAAATGTGATATATTTTGCTAGCAAACAACTGCAATTTCAATTTATTATTAATAGTTTTAAAGTTTAAACATGGTTTCTTTTTTGTGGGAAGCTATGCGTAGAGAGTTTCAAAGAGAGTTGATCATCATTCAGCATCAAACCATATGTGTACAACAATATTCAATTTTTGATATGTGTGATTATACCTTTCAAACTATTTATTTTACCTATTAAAAAAATTAGAAAGTTATCATTCAAATGAAGTTAGCAAATCAAACGGAAAAATCTAGACTTAATAAGATTGTACCTGAAAATTAGAAGACATTTTTATACCCACTTAACAATGGAAGCTTGTGTTGAATGACTAATATTGAGTATGTTTATATAGTGTAGTCTTGAAGATTTGTTGATAAAAACTCTTTGATATTCCTCAATTACTTAATTTGATCCCTTTCAACTTCTCATAATTAGAAAAATACGTTTCAACTTCTATATTAATTGAAAGTTTATTAGTGTTCATCCTATTTGGTTGTTTGACACATAGTAATTGAATAGACTGCTGAACTTCTCATTTTGCTCCTCTATTATGTAATTCAATATTACTATTTAATTAGATATTGAATTTATATTTGGGTAAAGTATTTTATTACTTTTTAATTTAGCATAGGGGCAAAGTAGTAATTCAATTTTACACTTTAGAGCTTCATGCTTATAATAATATATGATATGATCATGTAAGAACAGATAGAGTGACTTGTAGATATCATATGCAAGAATTAATTAAAAAATGCATAGAGAATTTAATGGTATTATTGATGGATCGGAAAAACAAGGAGGAAGAAGTAGAGATACTTGGTGCAATTGACTTAGGTTATAAAGGAAAACCTTGGACATGGAGTTACAGGGAAAATCAATATATATATATATATATATATATATATATATATATATATATATATAAATGAGGACCATAGAGGAGGTGATGTGGCACCTCTATATGGCCTCCATTTCCATTTAACTTTTTCATCTTTTTTAAAAAAAATAAATTATATATCATAAAAAATTACTTAAATTTATTACAAATAAAAATATTTTATTAATGGTGGGTCATTTATAACAAAAACTCTTCATATTTTTTATTTATTTATCTCACTTATAATTAAAAGAGAAACATAATTTATTTATTTTTTACTTTTTTTAATTTAATTTAATTATTTTATTGTAAAAATATATTACTTTATTTATACAAATATACAAATAAATACTTTATTAATGTATGAACATTTATAATAAAAAAAACTCTCTATATTTTTTTTTCTATTTATTTATCTCATTTCTAATCATGAAATCATAGTATTATTATTTTTTACATTTTAAGTATTTTTATTTTTATTTTTGAATTTATTCACTAGGAGTTACAACCCATGACTTGCCCCTCTTTAATTTTTACTTTTAATAATATTCATGACTCTCATAATTTTTATATTCATAACCTCCAATTTAAATTTATAAGTTTATGTGTCTTATGAAATTCCTTTATTTTGCCTATAAATTTATATTAGTTTCATGAAGATTCACATTCACAATTATTCTTTCTTTTTTCATCATATAAGTTTGATTTGTAACAAAAAAAGAAGTACATGAAGGTAAGAAATACTTCATTGAAATTTTTATTTTTTATTTCCTCTATTTTTGTCTATATAAATTCGTATTTGATTTGTTAAGGAAATTAACATGTAACCAAAAAAAAGTACATGAAGTTAATAAATATATCATTCTCAAGTCCTTATTTTTTCATTTCCTTTATTTTGTCTATATAGATTCATATTTATTTTCATGAAGATTCACATACAAAGTTATAATTTCTCTTCTTCATAATACTTGTATGGGAATGAGCTAACATGTAACAAAAAAAAGTATATGAAGGTAAGATATATTTCATTCTTAAGTCTTTCTTTTTATTTCTATGTACTTATACATGCCTTCTTAATATATATTTTTATGTTTGTATTATAATTTATCAAGTAAGTATGATTAAAAAAATCTCTTTAATTCTTAACAATGTTTTATCCGTATGCAATTACTCTTTCTAATAGTTAGTTTTCCATATATAATATAGTTTGATTATAATATTTGTTAGATTTCAAGAATAATTATTATTTAGTATTGTTATTACTATTGAAAAGATAATGTATAAATATATTAAATATGGTTTATATTTCGTTCTTTCATTTGACATAATTATTTTTAATTCGTATATTTTTTTTTATTCAGTTGGTTGCATATATGAAGAGTTTGACATATGGATCAAAACATGATGGCGGATATCTTTGCAAAAAAAGATGGTACAAGGAAAAAAAATGAAGCATAATTAGAGATTATTTTTTCTCTTTGAAATTTATTAGCAACTTAGTTACTTTTGCTAGAGTATTTAAAATGTTAATTTATGTAAATAATTTAGCTAAATGTATTATATTATCAATGCGAATCATTTGATCCTTTAGTATTCCATTTTCTCTTTGTTATGAAAAAAATAGATATAATTATTTCATTTTAACAATAACAAAATTTATAATGATTAATTTCACTTTTATTATAACTTATAAAAAGTAATTGAAAAATATATTATTATTTTCATGATGTCATTTTTTGCATATGTAACAATCTGTTGTCGTTCTTTTTGCTTTGAAATGTATTTATAATTTTTATGTAGTCACCAATTATTATATTTTCTCAGTTCATTTTTTGTTTTTTCATACCTTATTTTTATTTTTTTATTTTACAAATAAAATCAATACATAATTAGTAATACATTTAGTGGCTAATAAAATTATACATTTGAATTATTTATAACTCATGTCTCTTCATCTTACTTGTAAAGTTTAATACTAAATATGAATCATGACATATGCTTCATTTTTCCTAAATTTTATAAGTATTTAATTAATGTTTAAAAAATTATAATAAGCAAATGTAATAATAAAATAAAATAAAACAATATTGTTTTGACGAAATCAAACTTTGGTTAGAACATCACTACTCCTACAAAAGATAGAGAAAATTAAAACATCTACAATTTTCAACCTAATACAATATATTGTTATTTCAACATATTATCTCTTATTTCATTTACTTCACCACGGTGAATATTTTTTTCTAATATATACATATACAAAACAAACAATATATTTTATATGTTTTAAAAAAGTCTATGATATCGCAGACGAGGAGAAATATAAATATTATCTATATATTCGATACTGATCTATATATTATATATTTCATATTATTATCTTATAAATATTTCATATAATCGCGCAAAGCGCGGATAGTTTCACTAGTGAGGGTATAATCCAGGAAAGGCTAGATTTTGTCTTAGTCTCTCGTAATTGGTAATTAAATTCGAAAATGCGAGTGTGCAATATATTGAAACTGAGGCATCACATCATTCTTCCTTGATGTTGTCTTCTGTTGTGAAACCAATTAGGAAGAAAAAATGATTTTACTTTGATAGAAGGTGGATTGAGAGTGAAGGAGTTCAGAATATTATTTCAAAAGCTTGGTCGTATGATTGTAATGGCTTTGAGAAATCTCAAGTTAGCTTTAAAATCATACATAGTCGTAGAAATTTGGAGAGAATTATTGGCATGAAGGGGAATATTACAGCCTTAGGAACAACACTAGTAATTTTGACTGGGTATATTAAGGCTATTGAAAAGAGAATTAAGCAAAGCCTGTAACGATGAAGAGAACTTCTGGAAACAAAAGTCTAGAGATTTATGGTTGCTGGATAAAAATACTTCAATACTTTCACATGGCGACCCGACAGACATCTGATGGGAGGTGGCTGGTAGACCAAACTGATATAATCCAAGAAGTTGGGCAATATTATAACAGTGTGCTCTCTACATCTAACCCGACAGACTTGGACTGTATTTTGAATCATGTTAAAGTGATTGTTAGTGATTCTATAAATCAAAATTCAATTAAGGAAGATGATGCTGAGGAAATAAAAAAAGCGGTGTTTGTGATGCATCCTCTTGAAGCACCAAGTCGAGAGCCTATGACAAAGTAAATAAAAAATGTGGTTTTTAAAAAACAAATGCGGATGTAGGCAAAAATTTGTGGCTATGAAATTGGATATGTCAAGAGCCTATGACAAAGTCGAATGGATTTATTTATAAGAAATGCTTTTACGAATGGATTTCCATAAAATATTTGTCAAATGGATTAGCCTACCACAGGGATAAGACAAGGGATCCACTGTCACTATATTTATTTTTAATATGTTATGAAGGTTTATCTACCTTATTGAACATATTAGAGGAACAAAATGAATTCCAAGGGCTAAAGTTGAATAGACATTGGCCAAGGCGAAACTCATATTTTTTGCTGATGACTCCTTTATGTTTTGTTCAACTAAAAATCAAAATTCATGTTGTGTAGCCAATATCTTAAAGAAATATGAACGAAGCTCTAGAAAAGTGGTCAATCTAGATAAATGAGTTATTTGTTTAAGTAAAAATGATAGAGAGGTGTAGAAAGTTGAGATATCGTTGTTGCTTTGACAACGACAAAGAAATGACATGGGTAGTATCTAGGCTTACCAGTTGTTGTGGGACGTTCCAAGAGAAAGGATGCTAGAGTTATAACAGAAAGAGTCAAGGACAGAAATAAAAGGATGGAAGGGGAAGAGTTCTTAAAAGCAAATATTTTCAAAACTCTACCTTTCTTAACATCATCTTTAGGTTTTTGAATATGGAAGAGTAATTTGTGGAGAGATCTTTTGACTAAGGGATTAAGATGGAGGATTTTTGATGTAAAAAATATTAATGTTTGGATTGACCCTTGGATACCAAATAATAATGGCTTCATCCCTAAGAGTATCCATGGGCATACAAAAATAGGGAACTGTGAAGATTCGACAAACTTAAGGGTCAACACACTTCTCATTGTCAGCTGGAAAAAGTACAAAAAGTTAGTGCACAGTCTGCAACAGTGATAGAAATGGCAGACGCGGCGGAAACCTCAGCCAATGACATTGCTTTAAGGATTGTGACTATTTCACATAAAGATAACAACCAATTGTCACAATCTTATTTTTTGCAACTTGAAAAACATCTCAAGGACACTTGCAAAGGATGACAAATCTAAAGTGAAGAAATATTTCGAAGAGCAACTCAAAACGGAAAGAGCTGGGAGCTTAGTTGTCTTAGGAGCATTTCTTCTGATCTTCAATTGTAATATGTTCCTAAACATATAAAGGAGTCAGTTTGCTTTGGTATGTAAATTCTAAGTTAGTTAAGTTCAACTAACTTAGTGGCAACCTTGTATGTTGCTTAGTAAATTCTAGGTCATCATTTGTGTGGTGATTTAGCGGAAAACCTGCGAGTTCCTTAGGGAATTTTAAGTTGTCTAGTGGTAATAGTTTAGTGGGCAGAGTCATATCTGCATAGGCTCTTCAAACAATAGAGTTATTGCTTGGTTGTGAGATAACTTCCTCTCACGCTTTTGTAATCGGTTTCACCTTTTCTTGTGAAGATTAGTGAAAACGGTTGAAAATCATGTGTGACAGGTTGTGATTTTAATCCCTTGAGGAAGGAGGTTTTTACGTAAATTGCTTATGTTGTTATTCTGCCTTTACTTACAGTTTGTTTTTACTGTGAGTGAGTCAAGGGACATGGTCCATTGACTGTTAGTGGATGAACGTGTTCTATCAGTCAGGTTACTACATCGCAAAGGATTTGATGGGTAAGACATTGAAAAACTCAAAAACTCAAGTGAGTTGTCACTTTTTTCCAAACTGCTTTTGGGACTTCTTATGGAAGTTGGGAGTTAAAAATAAGCTTAAACACTTTTTGAGAAAATATTACCTGTATTATGCATAATTATTTTATCTTATAGTAAGTTACTGTTTTAGTTACTGCCTTTTAGTATGTGTAGAAGACTCCTCCTATCGTAGGAGTTTATTGTTGTTGCATATTTGTAGAAGAGTCCTCCAATGGTTTAGAAGTTTATGTAGCAATTAGCTTCCTTAGGCTTAGCTATATGTTGTTGTTATTAATTGTATTTAACGCTTTGATGCTGAAATAATAAAATCATCTTTCGACTACTTCTGTCTATCTAAATTAATATGGTATCAAAACCTCTAGCCTCTTACGAGTCAGATCCGTTATATATTTTTTGTCCCAACTATGACTGAATCTCAAGGAACAACCCCTCCTGTTGTTATTACCACTCGTGATGCTACTGCCACCAACAGCAGTGCTTCGGCTGCTTCACCTATAATTCACGTGGTACAATTAAATCCCGCGTCTTAGTTACTTATCAAACTACAAGGTAACCACAACTTCTCAACTTGGAAAGCACAACTTGTGATGCTACTCATTGTCCATCAACTAATGGGACATCTTGACGGATCAAACCCGGCACCACCAATGATTGTTACGCAAGATAACCGTATGACTCCAGAACCCATATACCAAATCTGGTTCTCTCAGGACCAACTCATCCAACAAGCTATGATGGCATCTGTCGATCACACCATTGCACCAACTGTTTCCACAACTCCATCTTCTAAGAAAGCGTGGGGACTTCTTCACATGGCTTACGCAAATAAGAGCCACACTCGCAATTTTAGCTTGTGCAACCAACTGCAGAATATTAAGAAAGCCACTAAATTGGGTTACAGAATACTTACAAGAGGTTCGATCTGTTTCTGATGCTCTTAAAGTTGTTGATTTACCAGTACAAGATGACGAACTTATTGTAAAGAATTCTAAGCGGCTTGGGCCTCGAGTGCCGGGAGACTTCTGCTGCCATAAGAGCACTTGACTCTTCCTTGTGTTTTGAAGAATTGTTTCACAAGCTCACAGATCATGAGCTTTTTCTCAAGCACCAAGACCTGGAGAACTCATCTTCCATTATTACAGCTGCAATAGCACAGAGGACAAACATGACAACACAGTCTAACAGGAACAATCATCGCTTTAACAATTAACAATGGAACCAATCTCTCGACAGTCCAACTTCAACAATCAACAATTGAACCAATTTGCGTCTCGACTGTTCAACTCCAACAATTAGCAAAATATGAGATCAAGTTTGAGACAATTGGTTCGATGCCAATTGTGCCAAAAATTTGGTCACACTGCAGATGTATGCCATTGCGAATCGCACAATCATTTTGAATCTAAGGCCAACTTTGCCTCTAATTTGCAGTCAAAAGACAACTCTTGGGTTCTCGATTCCGGTGCAACTCATCATGTCACGGCTGAACCTCATAATCTTGAAGAGTATACATGCAATAAGGGAATATCTATGGGTGACGGTAAAACCATTCCTATTACTCATACTAGTTTAACTCAAATACAAGCACCAAATTAGTTCTGCTTTCAGTCTTTCTAACACTCTATGTTCTCCATCAATTAAAGAAACCTTATTTGTGTAGCCAAGCTTTGTCAAGAAAATCTCACATCTATTGAATTTTTTCCTTTTACTTTTCTTGTGAAGGACCTGCATACTCAGAAGTCGCTGGTGTCACGACCGGAATCTAGACCCCAGACGAGACCAGCGTCGTTGACCTCTCAGAGGTCGCACACAAGCCTGCTTACGTCATTCTTACTTTACATAGATTAATTTTAGCGGAAAATTTGAAATTTTTGATTCTTTAATCATACTTGCTGAACATTCTTAACATTTCGTAATCGTTCATCATCAACCATCTAACATTTAAGAGATAAGCGACTGAAAGAAATAATTCATTAAGTATTAATTGTATATCGGCCAAAATAGCACCAATACAAAGTTTGAACCAAAACAGGAAAGAAACGCTAGTGGAACATGCTCCACTAGCTCAACTCTAAAACTACGCTAGAATGTAAAACAATAGCATCCTCGAAAGCATGAGGACCTACCAAACTCCGGATAAATACTGATGTCCGGATAGCTGCGACAACGAACCTGTAGCTCTAGCGTCCACCTGTGCCTGCACCTAAAAGTAGATGTTCATATGGAATTAGTACACACTTGTACTAAGTATGAGTATATGCAAGTACACACCAGGGACATGCATGAGAAACAATAGCTCTTTCCTAACAACATGATTTTTGGAAGTCAAGTCAGTGGACTTGCCAAATTGAGATTGGGAAAGTTATGCCATGAGAGTGACATGCATCATTATAATTATCGTATGGCACGCAAAACATAACATATTCATATAACACATAACATATAACACATACTTTCTTTCTATTATTCATTTTTATACCATGAGACCTTATTATCATAGACTTAACTTTAAGACTTTCCAAAATGAGGGCTCAACATATGGGACCTCAACTAGGGAGCCTTCTTTAGCAAACACAGAGTCTGCTTCACTCATTCATTCATATTTCATTTCAATTCATTCATAGGCCAGTGCGAACACCAGCTATACCTAGGATGTAGTTTAAGACTTTCATCGGGTTTGCTGTGCAATGATCAGGAATGACCTAATGTCATTACCTGAATCTAGCTCACCTCTTGATTATCCTATCCTAACACCTTCGGTATCATTCATTTCTTTATATGATTCATTTGAGGCTGGCCTCATTCATTCATTGGGAACCTTAACTTTAACCGACATAGATCATGTAAGCATCATGAAATCCAGTGTCTTCCCCACACCGAAAAGAGGTGGAATCACCGGCCAAAGCGATTCAATAACATGCTAGCGTATACGGGAATTTAACCCCACCAAATCCCTATAGTGGCAATATAGGTTCAAAGACTAGGAGATGTATGGAGACCCATACCCGGCAAGCCGGACAGTCTCATCTCATGAGAATTACGTGAACCTCGGCCCTTCCCGAAAGAAGGCATCACCACTCATAGCTAGCCTATCGGTGCTCGGTATAAAGTTCCATTACATTCAACTCATACATCATAGAAGTTTGCTTCTAGTATGAGGACATCATAGCTCAATAGATGATTTCTCATATCATCATTAGTATTAAGTGTTTTAAACTCAAAATTTTTATTAGAGTATTCATAGAGACTGGTCTCTTCATTATCTTACACTCTCATTGGTGAGTATGTATCTGTAACATTTACTTAGGCTCATTTAAGATTGCTCTCATCATATGCATTAACCTCACATCATGATTGTCACCACATTCTTCATTTCATTACGTATATCTTAGGTTCACTTATTCTTGAACGTATGTTAAACTTATATATCTATACATACAAGCCATGAGGCTTCATATATAGTTCGTTAAGTGAATTCTTGTTTTTCTAAGATTATGTATTACAAGACTTATGTATCTTGTATATATGCTAAGATCTTTGATTTTTGATCTAAGTAGATGACATTATTCTTGAATATTTCACTCACGTATGACTTATGTATTAATACGGAGGTTTGGACACGAGAACCCAAATTTTGAATTATTTGGATATCATTTATATTTTTCATTGATTTTAGTTCTAATATTCATAAATTTAGAACTCTAAGTTAAGTCTCAACATTTTCGTGAAATAATAAATTTTCTATTTTAATTAGAATTCTAAATTAAATTTCAATCATTTACATGAAAGAATAATTTTCTAATTTAATTAGAATTCCAATTTAAATCTCAATATTTACATAATAGAATTAATATTCTATTTTTAATTAAAATTCTAAATTAAATCTCAATGTTTACATAAGAGAATTAATTTTCCAACTTTAATTAGAATTTTAATTTACTATTATTATTATTTTTAATTAAATTCGCTTGAATAGGGAGGTTGTGGGTTCGAACCCCCACAGCCCCCCTTATTTTCCTCTTAATTTCGCTGGGAATGGAGGCTGTGAGGTGGTGGGTTCGAACCCCCACAGCCTCACCTTTATTCCCTTAATATATTTATCCCCCCTTCAGCCCTGAGGTCGTGGGTTCGATCCCCACGCCTTGCATCCCCCTTTATATATATATTTTTTTGTTGCTAACGGGGGTCGTGGGTTCGATCCCCCGCCCCCCAGCATCCCTTTTCTGTTTTTTTTTTCGCGAATGGGGGTCGC